TTAATCAAAGAGACTGATAAAAGCTGGATTTCTCTATTTGAAGAAGAACCCTAGAGAGTGTTGGGGGATATTAGCAAATAGATTGTTGTATTCAAGCAGGATTACTATTTTAATTTATTGAGTCTTTTAATCAAGGGTATTATGGACTGTATTCTCTCTCTCCTTCCCCCCCCCCATAATTGATACCATATCAAGTAATGGTTTTTGTCCGTGGGAATATTTTTATCCATGCATAACTGTCATGGATTATCAACTTGAGAGCTCTCCTTATACTTTGAGGCCTCTTATTTCACCAGACTGCTTAAGGATGTGTGTGTGTATACAGTGTCTATAGATTGTGTGTACACATGATATGACCATAAAACTAGGAAAGTTTTTAGAAAACAGTGATGAACATAGCCAACTGAATATTCTCCCTGCAAATTTGATAAGCGTGTCATCTGTTCCTTTATACAAATCACTCACCAAAATGTTGAATGGTACCAGGCCAAGCCCAGACCACCTGGGACACTCGACTGGAGATCTCCCCCTGTGCTTACATTGACCGATGTTACTGGCTACCTTTTGGGTGTAGTCATTCAACCAATCCTGAACCACCTAACTAGACTGTGATCTAGCCCACATCTCTCCATTTTTTCCCATGAGAATATGGCACAAGAGAATTTGTCAAATGCTTTGCTGCTATCCAAGCATTCACTTGATCTACCAGGCTAGTTACTCTATCAAAGATGGGTTGCTAATGTTCGTTGACTTCTCCTATTTGTTTTTTTAAACATTTTGTCAGATTGTCAAATTTTTCCACTCTCAGACACAGGTGGATCTCCCTCTGCCTCCTCAGCTTCTTTTCCTTCTTTGTTTTATCTTTAAAGCCTTCTTTTCCCATTGTTCCATGGAAGACTTCATTCTCCCCAGTAGCCTGGAGAGTCATTCCTTCAGTTCTTTTGCCTCCTCTTCTGGGAAGGAGAACAAACTGTGTTGCATACATACATGACTGGTACTTGTCATGGGAATAAACACGAGTGTAGTACACATTCTGCAGGTTATTGCAAAACACCCCTAGTCCTCTACGCTGCCTGGAAGTGAGATCCTTAGTTCTCTGTCGTTCTTGTTGGTAGCTTTCAAGATTGGCGGGGTGGGGGTGGGGAGGAGGCTTCAGGGGTCTCAAACTAGGCCTTATTTATAATGGGCCTCCTGTCTTTTCTGGAGTGATGATGCTAGTTTGTTCAGCTGCCTTTGATTGGCAATTAGCAGCTTCCTGTCAATGGCCCAATTCAAACAAGCTGCCTGCAGCTGTTTGTGACAGGGTATCCAGCAGAATCCAATTACCAGCCATTTTTTTTTCCTTCTTCCTACCTCTTCCATCCTCTCTTGATGATCAGATTTCTGAAACCTGTCTTGACACCTCTCCACCACTGCTCCCCATGTCAAGGTTATTTATAAATAAAGATAAGACAGTTCAATTCCAATGTAATTTAATCCAGTGATGCAGCTTAGAATTATCTCCCAATTTTCCCCAATTTGCTAAAGGGTTTCATCTGCTCCTAAGCCTAATGGAATAAACTGTTAGGCTATAGGCTGTCATAGACCATGCAGGGCTAGAAAGACCTTGGTGGTCATCTGGTCTACCTTCCATTTTCCAGATCAGGATACTGAGGCCCCCGGGGAGACTAGAGCCAAGTCCAGCGATCTTTCCACCATATTCATGCCCTCATGAGGTTGATTTGGGCTCATGTTCTAAAAGGTTGGTCCCCAGGATTTTACTGGTGCCCAGAAGGACTTCTCCCTTGGCCAGCCCTCTCCGACATCATCCTTTGGGTTTATGTACAGCTTTTAATTTTCTGTGCTCCAATTGCCATAATGAATAAAAATGATGACTTTAAGAGAAACTCTTAGAAAACAATAAATGGAAGACAGGGAGATGCCTGTTTCTTAGAACAGGAGCTCCACACCCCTAATTAAGAGTTCAGTCAAGTCTGCCTTTATTTAAAAAAAAAATGAAGCAGGAATTCAACAGCTGGACATAGCTCTGTGGCCAATACAAAGGTCAAAAAAGTTTCATGACCTCACTCTCCCTTGCCCTGCAGTTGGACCAGGTCTGCATGGGCATAGTGATAGCAACAGAGTTATCTAGTCATTTGTGCCAAGTCCCTTTCTTTTTCTCAGATATGCTCTCCAAACAGCTCTTTTCACCAAATTAGGAAGATAATAATTACTTATATTATCTCCTTCACTTTAGCCAGGGAAGTCTGGGTTAGCACTCACACATAGTAGGTGCTTCATCAATGTTGAATTTGTTGCATTGGACTGTATCATTAGATCTTGGACAGCATATGTATGCTGCCGGAAGCCTGTGCTTTCAAATCCAATACAACTAGTGAAAGACAGAGGTCACTCTGATTTTTTTTCCTGAGTGTTCTCTGAGAAATTCCCCTTCTCCCTTAAATCCCAGCCCCTTTTCCTTTTCCAAAGGGGCATTTGAAGTTTTAATGCTAATTGATTTTTATTACCTTATTTATTTTCTTAGTTAAAATATGCTCTTAGGAGCCTTAAAAATAATTGCTCCTTCCCAATAAGCTTCTACTTAAGAGGCACTGTCAAAATAGGTCGCTTTCAGTGCTGCTCATGTTGAGACCCCAGCACATTTCCAGCAAATCAAATCAGTTTTTATTTAGTTCAATTTAGGGGACTAGGCGGCTTTGGGTGCCCTCTAAATGAATTACAAATTAATTGGCTGAGTGTGCTCAGCGTTCTGCTTATTATTCCTTTCAGACTGGCAGGAATTAGCATTAGCTTGCATCGGAGCATTTGGGACAATGGAAAATTATGAGTATTTAGTCTGGTCATTTTGCTGGGTTATCTGCATGTACCCAGGACCTTGCTACATTTTCTTTGCATTCTCTTTTCTTTTGAGACATCTCAGCTCCCCATCTATTTTGCAATCAGTCTGGTCCAAGTACCTAATGAGATTTTTATGTTATAAATCACTTCAAGAGTTTCTCCTCTTGATTAGAAAAAGTTGGATAGGATATTTTGATTCACTTATTGGGAAGATGTAATTTAGTACTAGTACTTGTAATGAATGTTACTAATCATTAGGTTTTTTTTTCCAAGGACAGGAAGAAAACAGATTTAGCAGATAATATTGACTAATATGAACAACTGTAGCAGTACATTTCTTAGGAAGAGGTCTACTTTAATTGGAGAGACAGAGTGGTGTAGTGAGAGAGTGCTGGCCTTGGAATCAGGAGAGACGTGGGTTCCAATCCTACTTCTGACACTTCCTGGGTGTGGGACCCTGCGCACGTTACTTAACCTCTATAAACCTCACTTTCCTCCTCTGCAAAATGAGGGTAATCTCTGTAGTGCTGACCTCACAGGGTTATTGGAAGAATCAATTGAGATAATGAATTTTTTAAGCACTTTGCAAACCTCAAAGCACTAGATAAATGATTAATTACTATTTGATCTAAGTTCATTCTCTGAGTAGTAACTCTGGAATTTATAGAGTGTTTTCCTCCACCAAGTGGCAAGATTTACTTACCATAAGACTTTCCATGTGGTCTCCCCTCATTTACCTGGCCTTTGCCTATTGAGACATTCTAGCTGTCAGGATCATTTTCCCACACTGTCTTGTGCAGAAGGAGAGCTTTTCAGCTGCTGGCTGGGGCCCAAGAACTCATCCCCTTTGAATGGTCAGCAGGCTAGAGGGGAGCCCAATGGCTCCCACTGCAGGGTGTCTTTTCCCTTGCAGGAGTACCCGCTTGCAGAGGTTTTCAGGATGACTGCCCTGCCCCCTTGCTAATTGGAGTCATCCTGAGCTATTGCAAAAGTATAATTAGGAATCAGTGGCCTAGCGCGCAGGTCACTGGACAAATAATTACAAGTTCTGCCTTGTCTGAGCTTTGGCATAGATTCCCGGTGTGACACCGAACAGGTCATTTTGCTCCTTTTCCTCAGTTCCTTCTCTGTGAAATGGAGGGTGACGATATGAGTCTTGGAAAGGGAAGTGATTTTCCTACAGTTGCACAAGTAATAAGTGGAAAGGCCAGGATTTGAACCCAGGTCACAAAATCATTGATGTAGAGCTGAAAGGGACCTCAGAAGCTATCTAGTCCAGATCTCTCATTTGAGGAAACTGAGGCCCAGGCAGGGTAAGTGCCTTGCCCATGGTTACTCAGGTGATATGCAGGAAGATAACAGGCAGTATTTGAACTCACTTCCTTCTTTCTTTCATTTATATCCCACTGCCTGTCTCACTCCTCAGTCTTCAAGGGGGCCTTGAAGATTGATTGAATTAAAACAATTGCTAAAGCCATGCTCTAAGTATGAGGTGTTGGTATTATTGTTAGAAGGAATGAGATGGCAAAGGATTTTGACATTCTAAAATGAGCATATCATTAGGGCCTCTGCTGCCATAGTTGGAGTTCTTCTGGCAGGGCTGCATTTGCATTCCCTTTCCACACTTTTCCTGTTGGCCTTAATGAGAGCCCTGAAAGGAAGCCCATGGAAGGCAGATTGAGATGAGCTTAGTTTAAAAGCCCTCCACTTTGAAAGGTTTGACTGAGGCGACCCCAGCCACATCATGTTAAATGTTGCAGAAAATACCCATCTCAAAAAATGACTTCCATTGTTATTTCTCTGGGCAGTGGGGTGTCCTGAAAAGAGCCATGGCTGGGAAATAAGAGGCCCTAGGTTTGAGCCAGGTTACTTACTACCTGTGTGGCCAATTCCTTAACCCCTGTGGGCCTCAGTTTCATCATCTGTAAAATGAGTGGGGCTGGAAGACAGGGCCAGCCAAGGTCCTCTCCAGTTCTGAATCCTGTGAAGCTCAAAGCCCATCACCACATGTGCTCAGGAAGGCTAGCTGATCCCATTAAGCATCAAAGAGATGCTCTGACCTGGTCAGCCAGGCACAAATAATCTAGCACATCTCATCCTGGGTAGCTGCTTGGTATAATCCTTTCATTCCAGGCTTCTAATGAGAACATTCTGTTTTGCAGCTCCAGGACCGCACCCAGTTCAGTGACCGAGATTTAGCCACCCTCAAGAAATACTGGGACAATGGCATGACAAGCTTGGGCTCTGTTTGCAGAGAGAAAATTGAAGCAGTTGCCGCAGAATTAAATGTTGACTGTGAAATAGTCCGGGTAAGACTTGTGATCCTTCTCTGATGGAGGTGGAAGGGGAGTGTGGAAGGATGCCTTTTAAAGTTGCATGAGGCAACCTGAAATAGACGACACATGGTAGGTAATGAATGAACATGTTCCAATGCACTCTTGAGCTTGTTCCCCTACTATGTGGAGATAAAAGCCTCCAGCTAAAGATTATGTTGACATTCCATTTTCAAGGAGTTTACATAAAATTTCAGTGGTGACAGTGATCCCAGAAGACCAAGAGGAAGTGGTAGTTGGAATGGAATGGAATGTTCTTCAGAGGAAGATCTGAAGCATTTTCTTATAAACGCTCGGGAAGAGAAACAGAGTCAGGCAGAGAGAGAGAGAGAGTGACCGTGAAGGAAAAGGTCACAGAGCTATCAGTTTTTGAGTTGACCTTGTAGACCATCTAGTCCAATCCTGTCACTTTGTAGATGGGGAGACTGAGGCTCAAAGACAGGAGTTTGCAGAGCTGAGTCTTCTGACATTCTGTTCAGTGCTCATCCTCCAAGCCTCCTCTGACTCCCCAGTCTTGTCCTGTCTCATGCCCTGGGATATTGGCAGGGGTGGGGAACAGGGCTGCCTACAGAAGGCTAACTTATTTCTATTCCTTGGAATCCAGATGAGAATTAACAATAATAGGGCTGATGGAAGCCAGAACAGCTCTAGAGCAGGAGGATTTATGATCCAGTTGGCCTCTTGCTTTCAAAATGCTGCCAAAAACCCATCTCAGTGAAGCTGGAGCATGAGCAGTAAAGCCAACCTCTGTCCCTGAGTGGGGGCAAAGGGGTGCCAGAATTTGGAGCTTTAGCAATCAGAGCAATTCGGCAATTTATCTGATCCCTTTTGCTTTTATTCTTGGACCTAGGTAGCATAGCCTGATATCTCATACATGAAAGTGGCTGTCCCCAAAGTCTTAGTGCAGTCAGAAGCGAGTAAGGCTTAAAGAAGCTTTATTTCTGCTTTTAATAAGCTATTAAAGCTTGAAACTACACTAAGACTTTGGGGATACCCAGTGTATACAATAACAAATAGAACAGACAATGAGATGAAGTCTAGTTGACCCGCTGGTATCAGTCACCTTTTGTGTGCAGAGCACTGTGCTAGGCATAGGGGTAAAGCACAATTTAGGTAAAACAGAGTCCCTGTCCCCATAGTCTTTTTTTTTTTAGGCAATTGGGGTTAAGTGACTTGCCCAGGGTCACACACCCCATAGTCTTTATAGCCTAGTAGAAGGATGAGGTCCCAACACACATGACTGTATCAAACCATAAATGCATTTGGGAATTGAAGAGCAAAGTGCTATGTGAGGTCCAAGGGAGAAAGGAAGGCTTTTCTGTAGATCATAGGATCAGAGATCAGAGCTGAAGGGACTGTAGATAGACAGTCTAACTCCCCCATTTTGCAGATGTGGAAGTCCAGGAAAAAGTGACTTGCCCATGGGTGATTCAGGTAGGAAGTGACTGAGCAAGGGTAGAATTCCATAGACCTTCCAGGCACAGGAAACAGTGAGGGCAAAGATGCTGACCCAGAGGGCCCAAGGGAGAGGGTAGTGTTAGAAGAGACCTTTGGCCAGTCATTGTGGACCAAAAGGTTCATGCACTTGTCTGATGCCAGCTCCTCTTTGTAGAACATGGCGGCACAATATCCAAGGTACTGTGGGAGGCAAGGCCAGTCCCAGAAACTGCTTGAGAGGAGTGCAGCAGAAAAGGGAAAAGTCGCAAGTCATGTCAGCTAGTGTAGGCCACACCCTCCTGAAAGCAGTTGATAGACGCTGGTGTCAGATGAGGAAAGGAATAAATAGATCTGTGTTGGAACTCCCCATTTCCACAGGTCTCCCAGCTGCCCGTCACCTGGCTAGCTTAGCACTCTTCTCCTCGGCTTCATGTAGGGACCAAGGGAGCAGCTGGGCTAACTTCCCCATTTAGCAGAGGAAGAAACTGAGGCCCAGAGAGATGAAGTCACTTTCCCAAAACATGTGGCTCCTCTGAGTTACAGTCCAGTGCTCTTTTGAGTCCTCTAAGACTGGGCGATCAATCAGCCAATAAGCATTCATTACCCTCCCACCATGTGGCAGGCACTGTGCTAGATGCTGATGGAAATAGAAAGAATGAAACCATCCCAGCTGAGGGCCTCCCCCTCCTGGCTTTCCTGGCTTCCTTTAAGTCTCAAGTCAAATCCCACCTTCTACTGGAGGCCTTTGGATTCGAGAGGTAATCGGGAGCCACTGGAGAATAGACTGGAGTTGGGAGAGGAATAAGGTAGGGAGACCATCTGGAGGCCATTGCACTACTCAAGGCTTGAACAAAGAAGGTGGCCATGTGAGTAGAGAAAAGCAGTCAGATGTGAGCGATGTTGTGGACCACTTGTCAGGTATGTTGTAGGGGGCTTTGGGTTCGGGTCCAGGTGGAACTGGAGGCCCACTGAGGTCCCTTCCAACTCTGTGCTGCCACACCTGGAAAAGCTGGAGCAGGGAGGCAGCTGTCCGCCAGGCAGGAAGCGATTCCTGCTTTCTTCAGGCCGTGGCACTTGATTGCTTTGAAGGGTCACCCCCCTTCCCTTTTGTTGGGCTGGCAGCAGAAGTGAGGTTGACATTGCCTATGCCACACCTGCTGGGGGCAGCCCTTCCCTAGTTTACCCCCACCTCCTGCAAAAAGCTGGCTCGAGGCCACAGCACATTTCCTTGTAGCTGAGCTCAGTGGATTATCTGCTATTTGGAATAGTAGGAACCAATTAATCCAGTGGGTCTGCTCTGTGCCTAGCCTGGTAGAGGTGCAGATGATACAGAAGAGGACAGAGCATATAGTTCCTGCCCCTTCAGAGCTTATGATCAAGTTGAGGAGATAGGGCAAAGGCCCTTGAAATGGTGAGCCAGCAGTAGAAGGGAGTGTATGCATAACATATTGAGAGATACAGACCATGAGTACTTTAGGGATTTAAACACAGAAGAAAGGATTGTGGGCAGGAATGGGTATTGAAGGCCTTGTTTTGGGGAGTAGATGAGAACTGAGTAATCCTTGAGCTGACTGTGTAAGAAATGAGTCTTTTTCAATCCTTTTTCCATTAAAAAGCATTTAATAAAAGGCAACTTATGGCTCTTGATTCTCCCCCTCTATGCCAGCTGGGCATGGCTACATGGTAGTTCTGAAAAAAGATTTCTGATGTTTCAGTAGACCACAGGCTTCTTATGAGTCACTGGTGACATATGACCTCCTGGAAAGCTCACGTGGTCTTGGGCCAAGCATGCAGAATTAAGGAGGTGATAGTCTCACTATACTCTGCCCTGGTCAGACACATCTGGAGTGTTGTACTCAGTTCTGGGCACTAAGAGATAGTGATGCATTGGAAAATGTTCAGAATGTGGCAGCCAGGGCACTACAAGTCCTTAGCTTCATGCCATAGGAGGGTCTCTTGAAGGAATTGGGGATATTTAGCACAGATAAGAGAAAACCTGGGGGCAGGATACATGATAGCTGTTGTCAGCTACAGAGCTATTAGGATTGTTTGTTTTGGTCTCATAGGGCAGAGCTAGGAATGATGAGTAGAAGTTGCAAAGAGACAAATCAAGGTAAGGAAAAACTTTCTAAAAATGAGAGTGATCCCAACATGAAATGGACACCATGGAGAGGTAGTGAGCCAACCTTCCCTCTAGATCTTCAGAGTTCTTGTTCAGGCAGACTGGGTGGGCCTGTGAGGTCCCATCTAGCTCTGGGCTTTTCAGATCTCCTCTCTGAAGGTGTCCCCTCTAATGAGGCACTTGTTGACAGAACGCAGAGGCCAAGCAAGAGTTCACTCAGCATTCCTCAGCCCCTTCTCTCCCAGAAGGAGGAATTGAATCAACCTCTGACTTGACCTCCAGAAGCTTCAGTCAAGCTAGGGAGCCTACAGTCTCCCCCACAGTGTGAGGCCCAGTGGACTTCCAGAGGAAATGGGTTCTCTTAAGAGGATTAGAGGGCAAAGATGGCATGCTCTGTAACACTAAATAGCTTCATTCCCCCTAAAGCACACTTTGAGCTCCTCACCAGGCCACGCCCATAGTAGGCACTTAATAAATGCTCTTTGATTGATTTTTAAGATGTCTGCAAAAGATGGTAGAGTAAAAGCAGTGACTTGCTTGAGCTCTCCCCCAAACCCCTCCAAATACCTGTAAAAATGGCTCTAAACAAATTCTAGAGCAGCAGAACCCACAAAAAGACAGAGTGAAACAAATTTCCAGCCCAAGATAACCTGGATGGTTGATTGGAAAGGTATATCATACTGGGCTGGGAGAGGAGCACAGTTCAGCTTGGGCACACAGGCAAAGACCAGGCCTCGGTGAACTTGCAGCAGGCCTCAGGGGACTGAGTCACAGGCAGCTGTGGTAGCTTCCAGACTTCTCAACCCACAAATGCCAAAGACAATTTAGAAGGTCAGTAGGAAAAGTCTGTGACCCTGGTGTGAGAGAGAAGCTTGGTCCTAGCCCCAGTCCCGGCGCAATGCCAGCGCAGCTTTAGGGTGATGGCTGCTTCCAGAGCTTGGCCCACAGACTGAGGGGGAATCAAGTGGCTGATGAGAGGGGGATTGCAGGGATCTCTTTGCTGGTGCTGAGGCAGGAATCTCTTGCTTTGCCCATGCTTGGATCTGGGTCACAGTTCTGGGTGGTGGTCCTGGGGTGAGGAGGAGTGCTGGCATGGTAGAGCTTGTGATAGCAGTGTAGAGAGAATCCTCCTCACAGTTCCAAGGCAGAAAAGAGTGCTTGTGGTCACTCATAGACCAGAGCACTGGCCAGGAAAGGAGCAAACACCTGACCCTTGATCATACCACCTTGGATGAACTGAAAACTTACAGGTCCCTACAAGTATCTCTGAAAACAGCTTCACAAAACCCCCAAAGTTTGGGACAGTACATTCTCCACACTGAAAGCAGACCCCCACCTTAACAAAGAGTTTAAAACTCAAGTAATTGGCTGGGAACATGAGCAAACTGCACCAAAAAAAAAAAGTCAGACCATAGAA